TGAAAGATAAATCGATGTCAGATATAGTAAAATTTTATATCCATGAAGAAAAAAAATTTAATAAGCTTTAAAAGACAAAATGAAAGGGACGTTAAATGAAAAAAAATCGACAACAAATATCTTGTTTTGATTCTATTGATAAATTTCGGTCTTAAAAGTTTCTATCTACGATTAATTAGTTTAATTGATTGATGGTTGACGAAATGGTATTAATGTGATTTAAATTATAATAAATAAATTTATAACTAAATTTTGACTGAGGTGACCATTACTTTTTTCAAAATAGATTTTATTTAATTCTACAATTCCACACAATATTTTTCCATTACCATGATAATCATAACAGATATTAATTATCCTGTACATCAATCTATTAAATTGAAAAGACTAAATTTCGCCCCTAGCCGGTAACTTTCCATTAAATAAATACATGCAAAATTATACTTAATGGAAATTTTAATTATTTAATTCAGATATTAAATTCAAAAGTTGTTATATGTCTGAAAGAATAATAAATTTCTTTGCGAGAAAGTGACAAAATTTATTTCTTGTTTCACTCTTTAATAAAAGTAATTATAATGTTTGTTAATACGTTTCGCGTTCATCATTGCCCCGTCTACAGGTCAGCTAACTCTGCAATGTTCCAATATGGTCAATACACATTTAATTATTCTTGTGTTAATAATAATCCATATTAATTTTACCAATGCGTAAGACATTTCGATGTTCTTATTTTACTTTTATGGTAGGTGAAATTTTATTAACTAGCATTCTGAAAATTCTTAGTTACCTCTACTTTTGTTTGTTGTTTCTCATTGCTTTTCATTTTAATTTTTATAAAAAACTATATCCATATATTGATTCGTGGAATATGCTTTGAGCAAATATACACCGCCCTTTTATGAGGTTGCGAAAAGAAAATTGACTTCTTATGGAATATATCCTTTTTTTTTTTAAATCATGTTTCAAGGTATTGGAGAAATCAATTATAGATTTATATCAAAACAAGGAGATGTAGAACATACTGGAATATAGTTTTATATGCAGACCTGAACGCTGGAGTTCCATGCCTAAGCAAGTATGCTAAAAACATTCTTATAAAAAATATATATATATAATTTTTCACTATAACCCATGTTAGGTCTTGGGTGTAATACTTCGTAACGAAGTAATGTTCCATGCTTTTGCGCAGGGAGGTGATTCGGTCGAGATCACGCTCAACCCCCAGGCTCCCCTTAGCAAATTAATTAATTGTAGGTGAGAGGCTGGATGAGCCTTAGAAAGGTCTATGCTATATTCAAGGCTAATGAAACAAAATAAATTATAGTCTATTATAATACAGTCGGATCTTAAAATTGACATAGCAACACAGTGCCTTAACCTTAGCTACCGCAATACTTATAAAAGAGTGAAATATAGAAGAATAAACATTCAAAAAAATTCATTTGTGCTAAACTTTTTTCATGCACGTTTTATTTACAAATCCTGAGTTAATAATAAGGATATTAATGATAGAGGAGTATTAATTATATACGACTTAATTAATAGTTATATTAATTAAGCTTTCGACCTTGAATTAGCTAAATAGGAAAATTAATTATCAGAGTGTATTCTGCCCTAAGGTTGCAAACGTGTAAAGACATCGACAGAAAGGTTTGAAGTCCAAAGGGTTCCCTCCTCAACAGCTAATGTCTCTCCCTTAATGACCTGACATTACAAGGGCAACGTGCATTCTAATTGCCTTCATTAAAGAGACAGTCCTGCCGTGTCTTGATGTTATACCGTTCGTGTTTACACTTGTTCGTATAGTCCTTTCCAGAGGAAGAGGTATCGTTAGATGATAGTGCAGCGAACTTGTTCGCATGATGTTAAAAACCATAAACCAAGTAGTGGCTTAATCAGATTTTGTAAAAACTACTGTTTACATATAAAGAAAAATAAGAAACATACAGCTGAGAAAAAAAGATATAATAGTCTTCATTTAATCCATAGGAATCCTTTGAGTCATCAAAACTGTATCTAAGGAAAACGATGTGACGGGGTATCATTCACAAAATAATTTGAAATAGAGGAAACTATTTATTGACCCTACGTTTTGACCCAATTAGGCAGGTGTTCGTCAAACAATGTAAAAGTCATGATAAACAAATTAACAGAGTAAGTAAAAAGTAATAAGGACTTATTAATATAATACAAAGTAATTATAATAGAGTTAGTTTGAAATTGCTGACAATTTATGCAGATAAGGAAGACGAAATGAAGTGGATGTTTGATTCAATTAATCAACCATGATCACCTTAGAGAATCAGCAATCCTCTTTATGGTATTTAATAATTGCTTATCTGCATAACCTGTTACCAATTTTAACTTACTCTATAAAAGCTCCTTTATTTATAACTTGTAAGTAAAAATTGGTGACATTTTATTCTGATAAGTATTACTAAGTAACATAAAGAGGATGGTTGCTTCGATTAATACAGAATCTACCATGATCAGTTCAGTGAACCAACCATCTTCTTTATGGTATTTAGTAATTCCTTATCGGCATAAACTGTTACCAATTTACGCAGATAAGGAATTACTAAGTACCATAAACTGGAATAATAATACCGGATGGTCAATTCACTTACGCGATTATGGTTGATTTTTGATTAATTAAACCAACCAACTTTATGGTATTTAGTAATTCCTCATCTGTATAAACTGTTACCAATTTTTACTTACTCTATTATAATTACTTTTTTATCATTGAATGCTTTTATTACTTTTTAATTACTCTGTTAATGATTTTCTTAATGTCTTGAACTTAACATTTTATAACTTTTACATTATTCTACAGTTTTGTTTCTTGTTCCTTCTAGCCCCGATGAAGACCTGCACAGTTAGGTCGAAACGTAGGCTATATATATAAATAGGCTATATATATAAATAGTTTCCTCTTATTTTTTATTGTTTATTTTATGATCACACAATCTGTCAACCATTATGTATTCAATATAAATATATTTGATATAATTATAAGATTTTTTTTATTTATTTGACATCATGATCTCCGATCGAAAATATCAGGAATAAATATACAAACTGAAAACTATACAATAAATGACCAACTGATTTAAAATTATACTAGACATTAGGAAAAGTATATATAAGGCTGTTTTTGGTTGGAGATCATATGGTCAAAGAAATTTCGATTAACATGATATAATAATTAATATATTTTTTTTAAATCAAAGCTTGAACTCTGAGTATTTTAATAAATACGTTGTAAGTGACAGGTACCTCATTATTAGTAAATCGCTGGGGGTACGTGCCTAACCAAGGTAAAGTGGAGGGGGAAAACGATGAAGAAATTATAAACGGAAATAGACAAGCCTGCACTGCGAACCATTTCCCCTTTCTCGGAACAGATCATATGACAGTCATATTGGATATTTTTAAAATTTAAATAAATTATTCATATATATTTTTAACTGAACACATGTCATTGCCATTAAGTATAAAATAATATGATTTTGTATTTTAACAAGTGAAACATATACGACATGATGCAATCATATTTACAGATTTATACGGGTCTACCAGATTTTATAAAGAAAAAAAAACAGAGAAAGATATTAATAAAAAAACCACACTGAGGTCTTTACTCAAAGTTAGAAACATTTTTTTTTTTTATCATGCATTTTAAATTATGAAATGTATTCTATATATCCTTGTAAAGTGTGGAATGAAAAATAGTGTGGCTGCTGTCACGGAATGTGTGATTTTAATAGTTTTTAAACACAAATGAAAATAAATTCACGTTAGGAACAATCGTTAATAGACTTCTGGGGTACACAAGTTTTTAAACAGCAGATAGGAAAAAAAAATCACGCCAAAGGTGAAATTTGTAAATTGCACGAAAAGGTAGAGAGGGATGTATGGTGTGAGGGATAGCATGTCGTACTGGCTCTCTAACTTAATTTATCTAAAATTTCTTTATTTAAGGATAAATATATTTATTTTGATAAACATAATTATTTAAGAATCGAATCATTAATTAATTATTTTATTGAGAATCGAAGTTTAAAAAACATTTCTAACATCCAAGTTATTATTTTTTTTATTATTAGAGGACTCCAAATAACATGAATCAATTAATATTTTCGGTTTATTGCAAAAGTTACTAAGTACATTTTTGATGGAATTGAACTTTTTACCAGGTCTCTTTTATAGATCAAACTCTTTTATAGATCAAATGTAGCTACAAACATAGCGTAGTGTTTTGATTCCACAAAGGGAATAATTTATATGTATTGGATTAACACAAAGGTTAAATTTATATGTGATTTAGTTAGGTAATGTCACATAATGACATTTTGAGATAAACCGATGCCATGCAAATAATTCTTTATTTAAAAAAAATAATTATTTAATCAACTTATATTTTCTATAGCATTCTCATATTTGTTCTTTTTGGCTTGTTATTAACACAAATTATTTATTTTTTAAATTAATAAAATTAAATTATTGTATGGAATTGTAATAAATTTTTTTTAATGGGTTGAAAGTTATATTACGTTAATTATGCAACAGATTTTTGATAAATTAATTGTTTTTAAAATGATTTACTATGATATCTATCCTAGGGTGTATGCAACAAGGAATCCTATTTCTATTTTAGTCTTTTGCTTTAGAAATAATTCAATCAACTCAAGCATGGGGGTTCTTCATGAATCAATTATTTTTATTGTAACTACTACATATTTCTAACGATCCTCCTCGAAAAAGTTATTTTTATATAATTACTTATTAAGCGTGAATTTTTCGAGGGACAGCCCATGGAGGTTTTTTTTTATAGCTATTATTATTATTATATTTCTTTAACGAACCCACTCCATTTTTAAGTAATTATTTATTTTACCTTCCTTAAGGGACCGCCAGAGGATATTATTTTTATTGTTATTATTATATTTTTTAACAATCCTTCTGGATAGAGTTATTATTTATATCGTTACTTATTAAGCCGGAGCCAGACGACATGGACAGATACATGCTACATGATACATGGACTGGAGGGCTGGCACGCACCCCTGGTCGGGAAGCTGGTTTTCCTTCTCGTTGATCTCGGTGATGGTGACTTCCCCTTGATCGGAGGACTCCCTCCTCTTGGTCGTGGTGGTCTTCTTCACCTTGCGGACCTTCCTCTCTGCGGTGTATTGCATCTGGACTTCCACGTCGGCCATGGCTGCTGATTGCTGTCGTTACCCTGCGGAGCTACTCGGCGAACTGCCGCTATCGGAGACCCTACCCCTAGGCCGGCGTCTCTCCCCTCCACTCCCCTACCCCTACCTGTCTCTCTCTCTCTCTCTCATCTGATTCATATCTTGGAATAATTTTTAAGTAATCAACTTTTATATAAAAAAGAAAAACGGAGAATAAAATAAAATCATTATTAATAAGAAAGTAATTAATAATTAATATTCAGATATTAAGATTTAAACCATTTTTTTTTCTATCTACAAGATTATGTATATTTTAAATGTATTTCATTGTTTCATTCCACAAATGTATATTAACAACTTAATATATATGAACAGCTGCGTAAGATTTGTAATTGGTGCCCCGACATACTCACAAGTGTCTCACCACTACACCGAGTTAAAGTGACTCTTCCCCTTCATTCGAAAACAATGTTTCCTAGGTACGTTCCTCTATCAAATCATTAACTATCATCATCCTTCTTACGCCTACAACCTTCTCCAATTCAAGTCCTCAGTCCACTCCCTTTTCACAAGATCTCGACCTTCCGACCTTTACATTCCTTCTCACAGATCTGCCTCGTTCCAAAACTCGTTTATTGCTCGCTCTGTTAATTTCTGGAATTCCCTTCCTATCAAAATTCGGCATTCTCCCACCCTATCTACATTTAAAACCCTCCTATTTCAATTTCTATCCCAAAAACAGACAGACAAGCCCCGCTAACCTTCTATGTAAATTTACATATTATTCAAAATGCTTCACATAATGATATAGTTACCATATATTCATCATTTAAATACTTAATATAAGATTCGTCTTCTTTTCCTTTTTTTAAATTTTTTTTTGATGGAGAAACACAGAGTTTATTGCTGAGAAGAATTTAATGTATTTTTTTTTTAAAAAGTGTATACTTATATTTTACCATTGTAAATAGTTTTAAATGTCTTGGCATAGTTTCAAGTGTTTTGTATATAATTTTTTTTTATCTTGTACATAGTATGTTTAACTAATATTTTCTTTACTTTTTTTTTCTCTTTATTTTTACTTTTTATGTTTGTTTTTACTTAGGCCAGATATAATACTTTAATTTTGCACTTTTTTGTTATTCTAAAGGGGCTTCGTCCCAGAATAAAATTATTTTCTATTCTATTCTATATAAATTCCTTAAATGTATATATTTAATCTCCGTGTTTGTTTATGGTTTACAATATCATTGCGTAGTGAGTTACATGCATAAATAATTTATTTTATTTGATACTTTTTTTTTCTTCTTTTGTCGGATTTGTTTTCTCATAAAATTAATTTAATACACCTTCCTAATTTTATGTATCTATTTATTCTTATTTTATATCTCTTACGCTGGGATAATCTAATATTGTAATCACATTTCTCATCCTGTGTCATTAATATATCTTTATCCGGTATATATTTTGTAAGCTAAAGCTGATACGTGTAACTTTTTTTCTTTTTTCCATTCACTATTTTTTCAAATACATTAATAAGTATAGTTGAGAAGATTTTATTTTATTTTTTAGTCATTTACATACTGTAGTTTGAGTTGTAATAGGTATTCTTTGATTCTTTATTAAGTTAGTTTTTGGCCTGATATGTATTTTTTCTTTTGTAACTGTTCATTATTGTTATTCTAAGGGGACATCGTCCCAGAATAAAGTTTACTTTCTATTCTATTCTAAAACAAGAAAAAAAAGATTGAGCTGGAGAGCTCCCTCACAGTGGTCTTCTCTAATTTTTAATTTTTGGGTGTAATCTGCGATACAGACCATTTCTTATCAAACTATAAAGATCTGTATAAAACTATGTGATTCGCTTCATCGTATCGCAACCTACATTTTTACTTGCAAAAATTCTTAGCTCGTGGAAGAATCCTCTTCATCATAAAATAAAATAACTTAAAAAGTCAAGAAAAGGATAGGAATCAAATATTTCTTTTAGAAACTTTTTAGGTTAATTAATTTTTTTTAATCATAAACTTGATTTTAATCATAAATTTCTACTTATAGAGTTTTATATTATATATTTTATAAAATAATGAGATTTTCTACAAAAAAAAAAATATTTTCTAAAGCATTATGAGAATTTTAGTTTTTTTATTAATTTAATGAAGTACAAAAAACTCATGAATACCCATTTTCTTTCCACTTAATCGTAAGATAATTTGTTCACAAAATCAAGAAAAACCTTCAATCAAAAAAAAAAAGGGGGCCTACAAAAATATTGGGCCGTTTAGCTTGACCTCCGCCTCCAACATAACGAGGTTATATATGCCAAGCGGCCCAATATTAATCAGTTGTAGGCCTAAATAGTTGAAATGTTGGAACTAGATGTCACGCCAAGCCACCCAATATTTTTGTAGACTTTTTTAGACCTTTTTTTCTCGATTTTGTGATCAAATTTTCTTACGAGTTAAGAAGCAAATGGGTGTTCATGGGTTTTTAGTACTTAATTAAATTAAAGAAAAGTTTGCCTGCCCATCTCCAATTCCTAGAATTTCGGTAAATAAAAAGTTGTATATTGCGATCAGATGATTCAAGAAGTTTTAGGCGGGTGTGACCATCTCAGAAATGGGGTGTTTTCAGGCTGGAGATCGGTAATCTTTTTCTGAATCGTAAGATCATTTGACCAAAGAATCGAGAAAAAAGGTGACCTAAAAAAGTATTGGGCCGTTTGGACTCCAACCTCTAAGATGTCAAAATAACGAGGTTATATATACTAAACGGACCAATTTTTTTTATGGGTGACCTATATTCTCGATTTTGTGATCAAATTATTTTACGATTAGGTGGGAAAATTGGATTTTCGTGAGTTTTTAGTACTCATTAAATTAATCAATTTAATCAAACTGAAATTCTCAGAGTTATCGTAAAAAATATTTTTTGTTTTATTGAAATTAAAAGATTAAAAAGATGGGTTTATTAATGATTTATTTTATATTTATGGAATATATATTTAAAATTAAAAAAAAGATTGATTTCATTCCTATCCTGTTTTTTTAATATTTATCTTTTTCTTTATCCGTTCTTTAATTTTATAATTTAATGCTGTGCTCTTAGAACATGGAACAACGCATTTTCATTTTTTTTATTTTCTTATTTTTTTAATTGAAAATTATTGATAACTATGTATAAAATATCTAACTTCCATAGATCAATACTTTAAAAATATATCGATAAATAAACGGAATGTCAGAATTTTCAAAAAACGTATCACTTGAAAAAAAAAAAGAAAGTACGGTAATGAAAAAAACAAAGTTAACGTTTAGGGTGATTCCAATTATTGATATGATCAGATCATTCTATGAAATGTGGTAAAATGAGCAATAATAAAAAACATATATAGAAATAATTGTGATGAATTCCAAGGAACAACCAAAACCTACCAAAAATGATAATCTTCATCTATACACAAAAAAAGGAAAAAGAAAATAGTATGAGTCACAAAAAGTGAATTAGATATAATTCCATTATTGTCATTAAACAGATATGACAGTCTACCAATAACTCAAGACCACAGAACAGCCTAAAGCCTCATTCAAAACCAGCTAAAACAAATAAGTAGATTCTTCATAAAAATATCTTACATATATTTTTATTGATGTGATCGCTCTTCGACTTTGAGTGAGATCACAGACATATTTTTTAGCGATTGGCATTATCTCACTACTGAAGATAGTTTAGGAAGTAATAAACATGAAAAGTAACTTTAACAGCTGCCTTTCGCATTTAATTATATGCACGAGTAAACTTTGATGTGAGTCATAAAAAGTTCTTACGGCAATCGATGGAGATAGTACTGCAATCTGCTACGTTGCAAGCTTATTATCTAAAGCTCCTCTTCCTTATAAATATTTATCTGCCATTCATTATCTACTATATGTAGGATGAGGAATCATTGAGGCGTATAAAAATAAATATAGGAAATATATGAAATTCATAACAATTAATAATCATCATACAAATATAGATATAGTTTCATTTTCAAGTACATTAAGTTAACCACTTTTAAAGTGTACAATTTGTTTTCTTGTATCCTAGGAGCTAAAATCTAATCCATGACACAACTGGAATTTTTTCGAAAGGTCAGAAATAAAGAATTATACAATAGAATAATCCAACAAATAAATAAAAATAAGTTATATAAAATAAGTGTTATTACTTTATAACAAATATCATCTGATTTACATATAATTAAACATTTTTATCAAGGCTTATTATTGAAAAAATCAGAAGGGAGGAGAAAAAAGGACTGGCTATTTATTATTAATATTATTATAAGTTAATTTTATTGTATTTTTAACAACAAATTTACTTGATAACTGGCAACACAGTTTCAAATATATTTAAACGAATAGAAAAGGAATACAAAATAAATAACGAAAAACCGCGAATGTTTAGACTTTACATGACGATGTAGAAAAAAATCTGATACCTCAAAGATATTTTGCTTATAGATCAAAGATATTATTACTTCGAATTTTTATTATTATTGTATTCCAAATTCAAGGATTTTCTCCCACTAACTGAATTACTGTTGTATTCAAGAAGAGATAAGGAAATCGGTATGCACCGAACATCTCGTTTACTTTGTTACAAACATCTGGCTGGATTTGGAGAGGCTGACGAAACCTCATAAAACCTTATGAAACGATTGAGCTAAGGGTAACACATGTTTTCTCTTAACCACAACTGAATGACATTTAGCAGAACGGAACCAATCCAAAAACATTAAAAAAATAGACTTAGAGAAAAATAGAAAATTTTTTAGTTAACTTATTGTTTTTTTTTTTTAACATAAAAGTAGTAAAGTTTCAAGTACGTTCAATGGAAAATCCAAGTTGAAAAAAGAACTAAAATAAAATAAAGAAAATTTTTGATTAATCTATTGATATGGCAGCGAACATTTATAGTGTATAAAATTCAGAATAAAATTAGGATTGTAACAATAAAGAAAATATACTTAATATAAC